TTTATGTAATGAGCTCTGCCGGAGTCTTCACTAGATGAAAATATGTCAGTCTTTTACTATACTCTGTCCAAGGTACCAAAGCATTAGAAAGCTTAGAAATATTATTACCTTAAGTCTCTATTATCATTACATAAATTATTGGATTGCTGTAATTTTACTAACCTATGATTCTCATTGTGAGTAGCTTCTATTAAATCCTCAAAGAAGGAGTTAGGCTAGTGAAGTATCCCTAAAGTTGATGAGAACTCTGAAATAGAAACTGTGTGTTTTATTTAATAATACTGGTTGGGCACTTTTTATTAGTCTGCAGAAATAAGCCTGATTAAATGCCCTTTAGCTTGGCCTTTCTTATAAGTGTTTGTGAAAGTGTTGAATACACAGTCTGTGCATTAACTGCAGGACACATTCTATAGTGCATACCTTATTCATCCTTCCAAACCAAATTTAGTTGGTGCAAAATTTTCCATAATATCCTATTGTAAAAATAATAGTGCAGGAAATGAAATACCATTAAAAAATTTTTTCAGGACTAGAACTCATATTTAAAATGAGATAAATATCTAAGATATATAAATCAATTCAGTGGTAATTTTGGTTATTTACACCATTAGAAGAAGAGGTGGGCTTACCAGTAGATGTAATTTGTTCATGTACAGGCACATAATACTCTATACAACAATCACCTATAGAAGGCTATACATCTATGTTTACTAAATGTTTACATTAATAAGGTTATCCACTAAATAATTGTGGTATCTATAAAATATTAATATGTGAAATAAATGGAGAACACAGTGACAGAGTCATCTATTTAAAACACATATATCTCATGCTGGATAAACTTATGCAAAGGGTACTTGAAGAGTTTGCCTTTATTCAGCCATATCCTATTTGGAAACAGACAATATTTTACAAGTCAGTTCTGAAGCATGCCAATTTTTAAAAGTCAATACAATGTGTATGTTTTTATTTTATGATGTCCATAATGTGCTAACACATTTGTGTTATCATCTTAAAGATTAGGTTAGCATTCATTAAAAAAATTTTTAAAGGTACATTAATATATTTTATTTCTGTTAGAATGCCTTTTAGGCATTTGCTGAGAGTTTACCTGGGAAAATAAAATTATAAATCGTGTTTGATAATAACTAGGAAAAGTAAAAGTTAGCTAGTTTATCATATTTATAATGACCTGAATATCCAGAAATACTGTATAATAAAATCAGCCCTTGGACAGCTCTCCATGGTACCTTCTTACTGCACCTTTAATCATAGTAAGAAACCTGTGAATAGATAATGTAATTGCTGTTACTGAACATAACAAGAGTTAGTGCATCTTTTTGACCCATGAAACTGGGTCTATGCATGTCCCCATCAATGTCATATGCTTTTAATCTCTTGGCATGCTACAAAGCAAAATGCAATTTTAATTATTGCACAATAATTTTTCTAATTTATACTCATTCCAAAATGTTTACAATTTATCAGCTGTGGTTGTCATCTTATCTACTCTCCATTGCTATTGCATTCCTGGCCACCTCTCTGAAGACTGATGGCACATTTTCCCTTCATATCTCTGTAGCAAGTCAGATGCAGAATGTACAACCCTTCAACTGCTAAGCATCCTACCCACATTCACCTAAAATGGCAAGTACTCTCTATAAATATCCTCCATTTTACATCATAACTTCTTTGAAAATAAGAACCAAAAGAAATCATTTGAGAAGCAAGTGCAAACAGCATGAAAACAATCCTTTGTGGTTCCCCTAACATACATAATGAAATCTGAATTATTTTCCAACCACCATCCCTCACCTTTCATATTTGTCTTTTGTCTTCCACAGCATTGCAGTCACATTGACTCCAGTCAGTTCTGGGAATAGGCGAGCTCTTTCTGCTCACATGGCTTTTGCATGGGCAAATTCACCTGCCCAGAATGCTCTTCTCTTCACCTTACAGATAGATTCTTCTTATCCATTAGGTTTTTCTTTAAAAGTCAACTCCCTAGCAAGACTTCAAGTTTACTTTGGGGAAAAAAAAGAAAAGTTCTTTTCTTTGCATTACCTTTCTTTTTTTTTTTTTTTTAAGATTTTATTTATTTATTTGACAGAGATCACAAGTAGGCAGAGAGGCAGGCAGAGGAAGAGGAAGGGAAGCAGGCTCCCTACTGAGCAGAAAGCCCGATGCAGGATGAGATCCCAGGACCCTGGGATCATGACCTGAGCTGAAGGCAGCGGCTTAACCCACTGAGCCCCCAGGCGCCCCTGCATTACTTTTCTTAACTCCTTGTTTGGTCCCCTCTTGGGCTTTTTTGCAGGCAGCAATTACCAGTTCTCTTGTGTACTTAGTTTTATTGGTCTTTCTTCATTAGAAAACAATCTTTATGATGACAGGCTAGGTTCTTTTCGATATTCAATAAACGTTTATTGAATGCAGACATACATAAATAAATTAAATATTTAACATACAAAAAGGTAGGCTAAAGCAGTACAATCTCGAGCTAAATGGTGCTAAATTCACTTGAATTTTAATCTCAACTTTATTACTAACTAGCTACAAGACAAATTTTTTTTCCTTGCAGGGGTGCCTGGGTGACTCAGTCAGTTATGCGGCTGCCTTTAGCTCAGGTCATGATGCCTGAGTCTCAGGATCAAGTCCTGCATCAGACTTCCGACTCAGCAGGGAGTGTGCTTCTCCCTCAGATCCTCTCCCCTCTCCTGCTCTCTCTCACTTTCTCTCTCTCTCAAATAAATAAATAAAATTTGTATTTTTTTTAAGATCTATCCTTTACCAACTGTATCATTAACTTTAGTCACTCTACTATATATCACATCCCAGGACTTATTTATTTTATATTATTTATTTTATAATAAAGTTTGTACCTTTATAATAAAAAACACTTTTTAATAAAGTTTTTACCTTTTGACAACCTTCATGCATTTGCCCATCCCTCTATCACAAGATACCTTTATAAGCCTAGAGAAACAACATTATTGGGAGCACAGATTATTTTAAGGTGTTAGGTTTTTGTTTTGTTTTGTTTTCAAAGATTTTCATTATTTATTTGACAGAGAGAGACCACCAGGAGGCAGAGTGGTAGACAGAGGGAGAGGAAGAAGCAGACTCCCTGCTGAGCAGGGAGCCCCATGAGGGTGATCCCAGGACTCTGGGATCATGACCAGAGCCAAAGGCAGACCCATAATCAACTGAGACACCCAGGCCCCCCAAGTTGTTAGGTTTTTACATAGGAAAGCTCTTGATTTAAAAAAAAAAAAAATCCTAAAGAAATGTGACATTTTTTCCTATTGTCAAAACCCCAAATTATCAAAGAGTCATGGTTCTCACAGCTTATTTCATGAACTTTTAGCAGTCCTATCACATTTGTTAGCCACATATCCCCTCATCATTGACTCCCATGTAGTATACACTCAGCTTTTGGGTGGGGTGAACATGGCTGATGCCAAAAGAGATCATATTTGTTAGTTCTGGATCACTGAACTTCTCTATCTTTGCCTTCATTTCCATACCTATGAAACAGAGAAAGCAATACCCATGCCATGTTTTTCAGAGTGCTTCTGTGAAGTCAAGTTGAGGTAACAGATGTGAAGACACATTGACATATTCAAAATTATATAATAAAAAAATGTATCATGCTAAGTACAAAATGCAGATTCTGGGGGGAAAAATAAAAATAAAAGCTGAAGTTTCCAAAAACAAAAAATAAAATAAAATAAAATAAAATAAATAAAATAAAAAATTATATAAGTAAAAGATACTTCTCCAACCTCATCTTGAGAAATAATAAGGACAAGATTTGAATACAAGAAGAGAACTTGGAAAAGTTTTAGCACGAATTGTAGGAAAATTAGTCCCCATTCTTCTACAATGAAAACGGTAGTGGAGAGGCAGATTGGAAAATGATTGTTCATGAAAAGAGACGGTGGGAAGATTGTTTTGTAACACTTATAGCATACAAGCTGCATTTTCAGGCCCCGTTACTAAGAGAAGGATGGGCACTGCTTCCAGTATTGGTGATACCTGGAGGATTTAACTCTCCTTTAAATAGAGGTGGGATAGATACAAAGTAGCTCAGCGACAGCACCAGGTGAAACACACTGCCACATCTAAAATAAAGAAAAAGGGGGAAATTAGAGCAGCCGTGGATACCTATTTTCTAGTCTCTTCCTTCTTCCACTTGTCTTCCCAATTCCTTCACAAACTGTAGCTAACTGATTACACTACTCTTTAGTTTTAAAATTCAGCCCCCTACCAGAACCTCTCCTATCGATAGGGATTGGGGGAGCAGGAGAGGGACAGGAGGAAAACCAGAACTAAGTCAATACCATAATGATTGTACACTGGAAGCATGTTGCTGTACAATATCGCCCCAGAGCCGCTTTGTTTATCAATGAACATCCTACTGCGTCCCCGAGATGTAGGTCAGGCTCATTGGAAAATATCAGCCGCCGATCGCATGCAGTCTTCATGATATTTCCAGACCGGGTGCGCTGCTGATTCTTGCACCCTGGAGTGCATCTGAGCTGCGTGATGGAGAGGGGACACCTGTACCTTAGGGACGCAGGTGAAGTCCGGTCTACCTTCCTGGTACTTTTCCTGGCGCTTCCTCATTCCTTCCCTCAGCCTCTCACTCTTCATCTCCATCTCCCCTGCTGTCTTGGACCCAAGCTCCTCTGCTAAAACGGTGCTTTTCCCGCTCTCTCCTTTCTCCGCACCTCAGCGGAAGACAGAGTGCTTCACACAACTGGGCATGCCTAATAACCAGGGAAAGCTCGGGTTGCAAGAAGAAAGCGCTTGCACCTTCGGAGCGGCCCTCCCCTCTGCAGCTGCCTCCTGCCAGTCAGGCGATCCGACGTGCAGCGAGGCCCAATGAGAGTCCGCAGCCTTCGCGGGGGCCCGGCCTCTCCGGGCGCCACCACCAATGAATGGTTGGCGGAGGTGGGACGCGCCCTGTTCCCGCCTCTCCAGTTAAGGCCGCCGGTGTGAGCCGGGGCTCGGCGCGAGAGAGGGACGACGGAAGAGACCGGCAGGTGTGGGCGCGGGGCTGAGCAGCCCGACGGCGGGAGTCGCAGTCGCTCGGTGCATGGGCCAGTGAGGACGCGCGGAGATCCCCTCGCCGCGGCGGAGGCGGAGCAGCGCCAAAGCAAGGCGCTGCCCGGCGACCCTGCGTCCGAGTGAGCGGAACCTTGCGCTTCGGCAGGGGACGGTCCGAAGTCCGCGCTATGGAAGAGGAGAAATATTTGCCTGAGCTGATGGCAGAGAAAGATAGCCTGGATCCATCTTTTGTGCATGCATCGCGCCTTTTGGCGGAAGGTAGGACTTGTCCCCACAGATGGGCGCAAACCACTGGCCGCTCTTCTCACCCGCGGCTTGGTTAGGGGAGTGAAGTTGGGGAGGGACGCCTGTCTCCTTCGCAGACACTGTCCCCTTCGCAGACACTGTCCCCCTGAAGATGCTCGCTTCAGACCTCGGGCGGACCGAGCCCGTTCTTGGGGCGGGCAGCAGTGCTCCTTCTCTACGTCTTAATTTGGGGAAGACCAAAGCTACGAGACGTAATGGCAGTAGTGATGTGACCTGTTAGGATCATTGATGGAGAAACCATAAAGTGTGGCGCGGTCAACAGGGATATTTTCACTTTGCAGAGGAAAGGGACATCAGTTTGGGAGTAAATGGTGATCCGTGTGGTTTTCTAAGAGCTTCTTAGCTGCAAATCAGCATATTTTTTCTTTCTTTATTTCTTTCTTTTTCTTTCTTTCTTTCTTTCTTTTTTTTTTTTTTTTTTTTTGCTGCATTTCGGAAGTGATTTTGATACCCTTTATCTAATTACAGCCGTTCCTATGGAAAGTCTTAGAATTAACCTAGATTAAGACTATGCATGTTCGTATATGTTTGTGGATGTGGCAAAGGCTAAAGTGCTTATCAATTTATTTGAAGTGTGATGATTGGGTACTCTGAGAGATACTGGCCCCTGAGAACACTTCACAAGTGATCAACTGTTTTACCAAGTGTGCATTTTCTTTTGTGTACCTGTAATGTTAAAGGAGATTTCATTCCCAGAGGAACATGTGTATCTTATCTTTTGCGTTGCTTTGAAAGATTGTTTAAACACGCGCACACAAACTTCTGTATGACAGAAATATTAGCCCAGTTACTCTATTCATCTTGAAATAATGCCATCTATCTGGTAAAGATACAATATGTGTAGTTATCTACACATGCCTTTTTAAAAACAACTCCAGATTTTTTTTTTGATGAATCTTTCATTAATAATGAATTGCTTTATCATCAAATTGACTACAATGCAGTTTTGTAGCTTAGGTTGTTATGGACTTACCTATGCCAAAACTAAAAGTGACAACTTCCTCTTCCTTGGCCCTTCTGCATTAAAAGAAATGTTTTCTTTTTTGAGACCTAGTTGTACATGGAAGGAAAAATTATGATCCTCCATGTAGAATTCAAATAACCACTTGGTTTGTTTAAAATTTTCATTTATAGGGTATTTATAGCACAATGAAGTCCAAGTTATTTTTTTTTCTTTTTGCATACTAAACAATTAAGATTTATAATCAAAATCTTGAACATGTGAAATGGCTAAGCTGCTGCAAGGAGTAGGTTGGTTTTCCAGAGGATCTGGTAAGGTGAAAAGCAATTATGCCGACTACTAACTATCTTGGTTACTGAATGAAAATAATAGAAATTAAGTTGAAAAGTAAAGGCAGTTTAAAATTGAAGTTCTCCCTCTACTTTATTGAAAATAAGGATAAATGCATAAAAGTAATAGGAATATTGACAATGAGTTAATAAATGCTTAAGATTGTTCAAAATGATTTAAAATGCAATTAAGCTTTCTGAAATCTTTTATTTCAATATATCTTACAGAAGCATCTTTATTACGCTGATAATGTCTTTAAAATGAAAAAAAAAAAGTTACGAATTGATCATTTTTCTCTGACCTGCTAATTGGAGTTCTCTTTGGGACAGCAGGCTCAATGATTAATTCATCAGTCATTGATGAGAAGTTAGTGGAGTTGGTATATGTTTCAAAACCACCACACTAAAGAAATGCATATGAGAAACTCTTAGCAGAGTGCATAAGTATTTCTGTGGCGGATGAAACAGTCAGAAAAGGCTGTCCCTTTGATTCTTTAACATTCTATCATTCCCAGAAACTTGATTTTTTGATACTTAGGAACATGTTTGAATGTACCTTGTAATTTAATTTTTTCCCAGTAGGGGGAAGCATGTCCTGCTTTTGTAAAGAATTAGGAGGCAAAAGCTCCTAAATAGAAAAACACCTAAGTAAGAAACAAAGAGAGGTGTTCAAATTTCAGAGAAATCATAATGAGGAAAAGGGAACGGAGAAGGTGATGATTATAATCTTGGAATATATAAAAATGTATGCAAAAAATGCATAAGTTTTACACTAATTCTTTATTTCTACCTTAAGTTCTTTATATGTACTTATTAAAGAGTATAAGGTGAGTGTCCTTTGGAATCTCTAATAAATCTTAACGTACATTTTACGTTATAGATCTTTCATTGTTTTTTCAAAAGCCATTTGCCAAGATTTCCAGATTTTGTTTCAGATCTCTATAGGAGAATATGTTGAGATGATTTTATTTCTCTTACCTGGAAATGCACTGATTGAAGGCAGTGGCTATAAATAAACCTGACATAGATATTCATTTGGAGAGAAGGTGCACACTGAAGTACATTTCAGTCAGTACTGTGCAGACAGTCTCAAGACTGAGTGAGCAATAAAAATGATCCAGATGATTCTTCAGAATGATTTTCTGGAAGCTAATATATATATATATATATATATATATATACACATATAAGGTCAGTGATGTAAAGCAATGAGCTTTCACAGTGATTTATTTTGCATTTTTGATTGGCGATAAATGCAGGTCAGTGCTCAATTGCAACTACTTTGTAAGGCCATGGGGTTAAACATACTAGTTTCTTGATTATTTTGTTATTTTTATTGTAATTTGTTTTATTTCACTTGTTTCTGCTATGTGTTTTCAGTAGGTATGATTCTGTGAAAGCTAATGGGAGAACCCATACATTTTATGTATTTGATTGTTGCTTAGAAAAGATCTTGAATAATATGGTTTGAAGAGTGCTTATAATATGTTTGATTAATTAAAATAATTTTCCTCCTGTGATTATAATATTGTTTAATTATCCATTTGTTATAGAAGGTGCTTTTGAATATGATAAAACAGCAAACTCAGCATGATCCTTAAAGTTCCACTCAGCCTCTGAATTTGCTTGCCAGATGAAATTAGATGAGGTTATTTATATCTATGCTGCTTCTGGGAAGTGCACTAAACTGAATCCAGATACCTGGATTTTAATTCCACTTTTGCCTAAACAGAATGTTGATAAACTTCCCTTTCCCCAGGCCCTAGGCCTTGTCTCTGAAATTAAGGAGTTGGACTAAATGATGTTTGGGTTTCTTTGTAGTCCCAGACTTAATTAGAATTATAAAGTTCTCCAGTCTGCAAGATTTCCTAACCTGACTTCTTCACAAAAATTGGTAGATTCATCATTGTTTTGGTTGACTGATCAAATAAGGAAGTCAAATATTGCCAAATATCCCAATAGTTAATTTGTTAGTTAGTTTGTTTGTTTTTTTGTTTTAACATTAGGTGCTATTTTAAAATTCCGGTGAAGAGCATGGCCTTCCATCTAGGATTGGCTTTCATGTTTGTAGGTATAGAAAAACTTTTAAAGCTATGAGAGAGGGGCGCCTGGGTGGCTCAGTGGGTTAAGCCACTTCCTTCGGCTCAGGTCATGATCTCAAGGTCCTGGGATCAAGCCCCGCATCGGGCTCTCTGCTCAGCGGGGAGCCTGCTTCTCCCTCTCTCTCTGTCTACCTCTCTGCCTACTTGTGATCTCTGCCTGTCAAATGAATAAATAAAATCTTTAGAAAAAAATTTTTTTAAGCTATGAGAGAAACAGGAAATAATATTTATCACAAATGCTGACTTGCGGTGACTTAACTACATGTAGATTCTCAGTAAGGATCATTATTTAATTAGGTTGTATTCCTCAAAATTTTTTCCACAAAGCAAAGAGAGTTCTTTAAAGAAAGGCATTGGAATAATGTCTAAAACTAACATCTGATAAAAAAATAGTATTCACATGACTTTTCTTTTGATCAGTGTAACCCATTTTTTCTCCCTGTACATTTGGAATAATCTGGTTTATTTCTTAAATAAAAAATAAAAATTAGTGAAAAAATAAATTTCAAGGTATTTTTGATTTTCAATTGAGACATAATTATGATACAGTGCAGAAACTTTGCTTTAGCAAATAAAACACTTGGGACAGAGTGTTGACACTTCTGTCTACCATGAAATATGGGATATGTCATTTATCTCCTCTCTGATTCTGTTTCTTCATCTGTAAAACAGAAAAAGTTGTATCTACCACCCATGGTTGTGTTAAGTTTAAAAAATTCCATTTGTGATAATATAAGCAGTATTTTATACAAACATGTATAGATCTTTTATACAAATACAACATGAACAAATTACACAAATATAAAATGATGCTTTTAAGATTTTCTTTAACATTTTAATGGTCTTGTGGACTTGACCTCAACTTGAAGCTTGGCTTTGTAAGAAAATGAGCACTGCCTTTACTCTTTGGATCACTGCTGAGTGAATTTTGAACTTACAGACCAAATTATGAAATAAATTGTCTTATGAAAAATTATTCCAATCAGGGTTTTTAAAACATCGTGTTCCGTTATGTTCCCAGTGCTCACTTTCAGTGTTTTACTTGAGCTTAATTAGCCCTTGCCCCATGTCTTTCCAGGGTAATTCCAAACCTCCTCAGGCCTCCTCATAAACCCACACATCCTTCACTCTTGGCAGCTCACTTCATCCTCTGTTTTAGTAGGAAATGAATATATCTCTTCTGACATTTTTCAGCCTCCCATCATCTAAAGACCTGCATAGTCCTTCTTACTCTCCTTCATTCCCAGAAGGTGATATGTTTCTTTTTTGTTCTAGGCTGACTTGTGCACCAGTATCCTAGATCCTAATGCTTATCGTGTCCTCCAGACTCATTCCATAGTTCTGTCTCTTCTGCAGTATCTCCAACTCCCTCTCCGCTCTTTTATAGTAGTAGCCTATAATTGATCCAATCTGAATAACTTAAAAAAAATATTTTTTTCACTTGCCAAAAGTAACCCAAATTTTCTCTCTCCATACTCCTTGTTTCCTTCAAGTTTCCAGTAATATTAGTCTTTACTTAGCTGCCTCACTTTCTCAGTTAACCTCTTCAAAGCTCTTTAT